TTCTGGTTCCAAGCAATTTGGATCAAGGATATTCAGCCTGTGTTTTGACTTGTAGCTGTTATTAGTAGAGGTAGTATTTTTGAATAATATGAAACAAATCCATGATATTAATTTCAATTTGTTTGAAATTCGAAGTAAACTACTAAATACATAGAAGTAGTTTTAAAATACAAAATCATTTGGCTTCCTAGTTTTAAGAAAGATTTAGTTATTCATCTGTTCATTTATTTGAAAGAGAAACAAAGACAGAGAGAAAGCGAGAGAAAGAGAGAGATTTTCCATCCATTGACTCCAAATGACTGAAATAACTAGGACTAAGCCAGGCCAAAGTCAGGAGCCAGGAGCCAGGAGCCAAGAGTCACATCTTCTACATGAGTGGTAGAGTCCCAAATACCCCGCCGTCTTTGCTGCCTTCCCAAACACATTAATAGGAAGCTGGGTTAAAAGTGGAATATCCAGGGATCACACCAACACACTGATATGGGATGCCAGTATTGCAAGTGTCTGTTTAACCTGCTGTGTCACAAATCTATCCTGCCTAGCTTTATGATCAACTTGAATGAGCAGTAAAACAGTAGGAATTTGAATGAACGATAGCTGTACCTTATGACTTTTGATTGATCTGAGAATCCCAGTTCCTTGAATTCTTGATTCTCCTTGCTATTCTCTTAATGGGGAAGACCAGATTTTAGGCAGGACTCTGAGTCATGATCAATACAATTTTTGTCTGGGGCAGAAAAAAAAATTTTTTTGGTTTGACATTCAGAGAGAACACCCCTTAACATAGTATTACAGGTTTAATAGACTAAAATCTACCTTGGGCCTAGCGCGATAACCTAGTCACTAAAATCCTTGCTTTGCATGCACCAGGATTTCATGGGTGCTGGTTTCTATCTAGCTCCCTGCTTGTGTCCTGAGGAGGCAGTCAAGGACAGCCCAAAACGTTGGGACCCTGCACCCATGTGGAAGACCGGGAGGAAGCTCCTTGTTCCTGGCTTCAAATTGGCTCAACTCCAGCCATTGCAGCCACTGAGAGTGAACCAGCAGACAGAAGACCTTCCTTCTTCTCTGTCTCTCCTCTCTCTATTCCTGACTTTCCAATAAAAAATAAATAAAATATTTTTTAAAAAATATACCTCAATTTCAGATATAGATCTTATATATTGTCCATTCTATCTGAATTTGAAAGAAGTAACATAAACATAAAATCATTTGTTCACATCCCAAATGCTTTGTAATAAGTCAATCATCTTTACAAAACTAAATATCCTTATGCAAGTTTAATAGGATTTGCCTTCTAAACAATCCTCTTGTAGATTGTTAAGTCTGATCCTGACTTAATTACTCTTTAAAACAAACATAAATAGAAAATATGCTTTCTGTTTGCATCAGTGTACCATACAGGTTAAGAAAGAGGGCCCTAGGGCCAGGACTGTGATGTAAAAGGTTAAGCAGAGGCCTGCAACTGCAGCATCCCATATAGGAACCTTTTCAAGCTCTAGCTGCCCCACTTCTGATCACTTCCTGCTGATGCACCTGTGAGAGCAGAAAAAGATGGCCTACTAACTGGGCCCCTGACAACCATATGGGAGACCAGGATGGAACTCCTGGCTCTTGGTTTTGACCTGGCCCAACCATAGCTTTTGCTGTCATTTGGTGATAGAATCAGCAAATGGAAGATCCCTCTTACTGCCTCTCCCTCACTTTCTCTCCTCTCCTCTCATTTCAAATAAATAAATCTTGATTTTTTTTTAAAAAAAAGAGGACTCTATGATTAGAAAGGAGAATAGAGAAGAAGTTCTGATGATTGTGTATAGTAGAGTTACTATACATAATGTATGGTATGTATACATATATGTACAATAGATTATTATAATGTTCTGTATATTTCAATAATGCTACAACAAAGGATTCTGAATGTTTTTATAAAAAGAAATGATAAATGTTTGCATTAATAAACCTATCCTGATTTGAACATAGTAAAATGCATATATATATGTGTGTGTGTGTATATACATATATATATGGCAATATCACATAATATTCCCATATCTTAAGCTATTAACACTTATTGGTAAACAGGCTAAGTTTCCCCCTGATAAAAAACATTAAGTTTTTCTTCAAAGAAATTATTTGAAATTTTCTCCACAGGTGTGATGGCCGTATAGAACCTTCTGTCTCGCTGAAGGGAACTTCTGCGGTGAGTAGCCAGGGAGTTGGAGGCTATGCCAAGAAACTCCATTAATGAAATCCCAAATGGGCTGCTATTTTATGTAGAATTCCCATTGGTTCAGTTATAAACATACTGCTGAAGTTGAGATTTCTCCTGGAAGTATAAAATTTCCCAGTCATGGTTGATTTCCAGGTGGCTTTGATACTGCAACGTGCAAATAGTAAGCTCTGCTAGGAAGGAGTAAGGCCACACCACCACTCCTGTGTAGTCCTAAAGGGAGACAGTCACATCTGCCTTGAAAGGTAGTGTGAGTCCAGACTGGATGCTTTCTGAATGTGGTCATTGTTTGCACTCAAAGAGGGAACCATTAAAGCACCAGATGCATGTGGCCACGGTAAGTGCATGTGAAGAGATGTACCCAACTAAAGGTTTAAGCGTAAATGTATGAGTGTGTTCATTGAAATTGAGAAGCTTTAAGCTTTCTGTTTCTGCTTATTCACTTTGGGTCTAGACATGCCTCCAAACTTTCTGTGTGACATAAGTTTTGAAGATAAAAGGTAGAGTTTTGGAAGAAACTTAAGAATACAAGGAAGAGATGGACTTGTGAAAGTTAATGAAAGACACCCATTGTGAAACTGGAGGGGAAATCAGTGGAGTGTGGAGGAACTTGGGGAGGATTAGGGGAAACCCCAATGTCTATTAAACTGTCATAAAACAAAATAATAATAATAATAAATACAGGGAAGAGACATTTTCCATTGCCTGTGGCCTTGGTTCTAGTGCCTATTTTTCTTTCCCTTTTCGCAAAAAGAATGGAGTAGAATGCTCTAAGAGTTCATGTATACGTAACTTCTGTATGTCAAAAAACAAAATGAGTCCTCTTTCCTCTGAGAACAATGCTGGTTCTCTCTGGATGATGACACCGAACCTGCATCTCTCTTGTCTGTGCTTCTGTCCAACTGTGACCCCAGCACCCACAGCTGTTACTCTCAAAGGCTGTTCACAGTCATCATCACCTTTAATTCCTGGAGAAAAGTCTATGACGTAGACACTCTCATTATCCGTATTTTAAAGATGAAGAACTGATGTTTAGAGTTTTTAAAGATCACGATCAGTGTCATACTAGTAAATGGTCAAATCATGATTAGAAAACCTAGGACTCTGAATTCCACAGCCAAGACTGAATAATACTGATAGCTCATCAGCCCAAACCCAGTTTGCATACGGACCCCAGTGCTGCTTGCAGAGATTCTCCTTTGATAAACAATGGACTAAAACAGCACATCTTCAATGTGCAGCTGTGCCCAAAGCATAGAGCTTCTTCCAGGACACTTCTGTCCTCTTGAGTTTCCCATGGAAGCGGAAATAGATGAAACATAAGAAAAGAAATACAAATGCCTAGAAACAATAAAACAGTAATGCTGGTTTGGCATCCTCAGGATTTGAAAATCCAACCTGTGGATTTATCGATGCTTTCTTTGATACTCTTGATTGCTGCTTGTATTACCCATTTCATGGCTCAGTGCAGGTAAGTCTCAAATGGAAAGACTGGGCAAACAAATGAAACTCAAGCCAGAGATTGCTGTTCTCAGTTAATAGCAGCAAGGATATTTCAGAAAATTCATGGAGAAAAGGAATTAAAAGATAAGTTTACTTTGGTGCAAAATCCATGCATGGTCTCCTAATAAAACACATTTTTTATGATTGTTTTGAATACTTTTCTTAATAAAGAAAGTTGGGGAGAGGCATTCTGGCCCAATGGGTTAAACTGACATTTGGGTGACATACATCTCATATCAAAGTCCCACCTTTGAATTCAGGCACCTCTGCTTCTGACCTAGGTTTCTGCTATTGTATCACAGATGGCAGCAGAGAATGGCTCAATGCTTGGGTTCCTTCCACCCAGGTGGGAGACTCAGGTTAAGTTTTTGTATCCTGCCCTCGTAATAACCCTGGCTGTTGTAGATACTGGGAAGTGAACCAGCTGGTGGAAATATCTTTCTCTCTTTCTCTCTCCTTCCCCTTCCCTCTTTTCCTCTCTCTCTTTCTTTGTCCCTTCTTCCTTACCACCTTCCCTCCTTTTCAAGACAAAAAGTGTTTTTAGAAAATTTTTTTCGAAGTAGGACAGAGAAAATAATGAAAGTACTAAATAGAATTCTGTATGATTTGTAGGTTTTTCACTATTTATAAAGATCCTTACTCCCTTATCCCACGGGAACTGGTAGTTAACCCTGGGAGCCACAGGATTCTTGCCAATGTTTGAGGCAATGAGCTTTCCATCACATAGTTGGCAGCCTGATAGGAATGCTTTAAGGGAGATCTAGGACTTTGTGTAAGATTGCGTTAGTGGATGACCTTCCTCTCAGAACAAAATGAAGCTATTGTTTAAACATTTACTTAATGTTTAAAAAAGCAAAAAGTTTGAGAAAATAAAATTTTTAGAACTGTGGAGAACTTAGAGATCATGTAGGCCAGGATTTCTGTCAACTTCAGCACTACTGACTTTGTAGGTTATACTTCTCTGTTGGACAAAGGCTGCCATGTATATTGTAGAGTAGGATGTTAGTATCTGTAGATATCTCCAGATATTGGCAAATAGTCCCTGCCTGGAGAACAAATGGTCTCCAGTTACAAACCATCTCCTTTCAGGTGCAGAATCCAATGTCAGTGTAGCCACCATCTTTGAGAATAGAGACAAAACTGATGGTCTCATGGCTGAACAAATTCCAGCTAAGCCTTGTCCTATGACCCTAAGAACCCCTGCAGTGTCCACTTACAATGTTGGGTCTGTGTGAGCTCTCTGAGTCAGGGACAGTATCACACTCACCTATGCATGCCTGCTGCCCAATCTAACCTGAGCACTCCACAACTGAAAGAATAAATCAATGAGTGAAGCCAAAGGTACATTGGAGGATGTGACCTGTGTAGAAAAACAGACACAGAACAAATTAAGGAACACCTTGAAAAATTAATTTGTTGACTTTACCAAGCCATTTGATAACATCAGTGAGCTTGGGTTTCAGCTCCAACAGCTGTTCTGCAGGTTTGGCTGCCTGAGGAGGCTCTCAATTATACTGAGGTTACTCTGTGGCAGAAGGCGTGTTTGTCTGGCCGTGTCGGAATTGCAGAATTGGAGCTATGTAAAACCCCTCATTTTACTTAGCCCGTTTTTTATATTTTATTTGTTTTCATCTACTTGCAAAGCAGGAAGAGAGACAGTAAAAGACAGAGAGATTGAAAGATCTTTTGTCTTTTGGTTCAGTTCCCCTGAGGCCTCAACAGCCACTGCTGAGGCAGACCAAAACCAGGAGCCTGGAATTGTATTAAGATCTCTCCTATGGGTGGCAGGGGCCCAAGTGTTTGAACCATTAGCTGTTGCTCCCTAGGAAGCATTAGTAGAAAGCTGGATTGGAAATGGAGGTACTGGGACTCAAACCAGACACTCCAAGATGGGCCACATGTGACTCAACTGGGGGTTTAGTGCACTGTTGAACAATATTTACCCCTGCTTAGCCTATCTTAGGTACTATATTTGAGAGAGTAGCTGAGATTTTAAAACCCAGGATTTGAGACTGCAGCCTCTTTTCTCATTGGCTCATTGGCCTACAGACATCAATAAGAACATCCTGGAATTCTCTATGACCACAAAAGTTAACAGTAAGGACTTATTAAGGACTAGACACTTATAGGTGTTTTTGAATTACTAATCCACTTGATCCTCATGCCAACTAAAAGGTCAGTAGTGTTGTTTTTATGGTTTTCTTTTCTTTTTCATTTTGCCAGCTAAGAACCTGAGGTACAGAGAGGTTAAGTAATCTGCCCAAAGTCACTTAGTATTAACCGGCAGAGCCAGAATTGCAACCTATGTAGAACCCATGTGTCTAGCCACTGCACTGGGCTGCTGCAATGTGATTTTGAAAAAGATTTGTTCACTTGAAAGGAAGAGTTACAGAGAAAGGAAGAGAAAAAAAGAGAGGGGGAGGGAGAGAGAGAGACCTTTCGCCCACTAATTCATTCTCTAGATGGCTGCAGTGACTAGAGCTGGACCAGTCTGAAGCCATGAATCAGGAGCTTCTTCCACGTCTTCCACATAAATGCAATGGCCCAAAGATTTGAGCCATCTTCTGCTGTTTTCCCAGGCACACTAACAGGGAGTTGAATCAGAAGTGGAGCAGTCAGAATTCAAACCAGTGCCCATACGAGATGCTGACACCACAGACAGTGGCTTTACATGCTACACCAACCGAACCTATCCCCAATGTGCTTCTCTGAATTTTAATTCTGTAAATTTCCAGTATCTCAATTTCTGTTATAATCATATATATCAATTTCTAAAATTTTATGTTTTACTTAATTGAAAGGCAGAATTGCATAAACAGAGGAAGAGAGAGAGAGAAAAATCGATCCTCATCTGTTGTTCACTCCCTAGATGTCCACAGTGGCCAGGGCTGGGGCAAGCTGAAAGCTAAGAACAACGAGCTTCTTCTGAATGTCTCACATGGATAGCAGGGTCCTAAACACTTAGTCATCCTTTGCTGCTATTCCCAGGCTATTAGCAGGGAGCTAGATCAGAAATGGAACAGCTGGGACATGAACAGGAACCCACGTGGGATGCCAGTGTTGCAGACAACAGCTTTACCACAAAGCCGGCTCCATATATGTACTTTTATACTTTGGCTATATCATTAGTAATTCATAACTGCATGGAAAATACCATAAACTACAGGCAATGAAGGGCATGGAATGTTTAAGACAAGGCTTCTCTCTGTCTAGAAAGTTTACCATCTAGCTGAAGATATGTACATTAATAAAATAATAACAAAAATATGTAATAGAAAGACCAGAATTGGGAACCAAGCATAAGAGTGTAAGTAGCCAATGTTACCATATATATTATTCATGGCACTTAAGTAAGACACTTACCTAATACCTGATTTTCTCATCTGCAAAATGGGAATGATAAGCCCTATCTAATTTACAAAACTGTTTCAAGAATCCAATAAGAGAAGATATAAAAAGCATATGGTATTAAAATCTGAATAGACATGTAATTCTGTTCAACCATGAGGAAAGAGAAAAAATACACAAAAATGTCTTGGAGAAGTCCAGATGGAATGTGATTGTGCGAATAGTCTCAGATTTGATGTTAATCAGCTGCTTATATGCAAGACATGCTAGATGCTCAAGAAAAAAAGGGAACACTTTTTTCTTAGTCATTTTAGAGCTCAGTCTATTTCCAGGGCCTCGATTGATTTGTGTTTGAATGCTTGGTTTGCTAGATTACAGAGGAGACTGAAACTTGTGGTGCTGGGAATACTGTGAACATCAACTCTGCCCAGCAGAGCAAGAGATGGTGCCGTATCTGCCTGCCTACCTGCCTGTCTGTCTGTCTGTCTGTCTACCTATCCATCCATCCATCCCTCTTTGATTCTGAAGGATTGGTTGCCACCATTTTACTACCAAAACACGTTTGAGCCTCATCCTGCAGACAGTGGTGGGGAATAGGCGTCACCTTTTATTGCAACTCCACAGCTTGGGACTTTCTTCTGAGTGGAAGCCTGAGACCACTGAGCCCTGATAGCAGCCACTCTGGGCCTGAAGGGGTCTTAAGACTTCAGATGCTTCCTAACAGGTCTCCAACCTGCTTTGGGATTCAGAAAATGCCCACTGCAAGGTAAGCACATATTAATAAGCCAGGAGCCACACAATGTGATCGGAGTGGAGAGGTGCTAGAAGTTGGGCTCTGAAGTCCTACAGACAAGCAGTGAATCCTCTCTCTCCTGCACTGTGATCCAAGGCAGGCACTTGGCTTCTTGAAACCTCAGCTTTTTGCTTGTTGTTGTTGCTATTGTTGTTTACAGTAGCTATAATAGTAGTACTTTAATGTTGTTAAAAGTAATAAAATGGGGACTGGAATTGTGAAGAAGCAAGTTAAGCTGCTCCCAGTCCTGGCTACTCCACTTTCTCTACAGCTCCATAAAAATGTGTTTGGGAAAGCAGCAGAGAATGGCCCAAGTGCTTGGGCCTCTGCACACACATGGGAGATCCAAAGGAAGCTCTGGGCTCCTGACTTTGGCCTGGTCCAGCTTCAGCCATTGCAGCCATTTGAGGAGTGAACAAGCAGATGAAAGTTTCTCTCTCTCTCTCTCTGTGTCCCTGTAACTCTGCCTTTCAAATAAATTTTGAAGAAAAGAAATCTTTTTTAAAAATAGAGTAATAAAGCAGCTCTTTTAGCTAGTAAAGTTCTAGGGTAGCTATTGACAATGATAATGTAATATGTATTTCTCTAAAAAGATAATAGAAAGGATTTTGCATGTTTTTATCATAAAGAAAAATGAAATTTTGAGAAGCAACATTTATTTACTCTAATTGGAGGTTATATAATATATTTGCATCAAAACATTATAAGGCACCCAATAAATACATATATTTCAAACTTCACTTGAAGCCAAACTTCAAGTGGATGTTTGGCTTAGAGGTTAAGACCCAGCTTGATCTGGCGTGATAGTCAAGCAGCTAAAATCCTTATGCTTCATGCACCAGGATCCTATATGGGCACTAGTTCTGATCCCTACAGCCCCACTTTCCATCATCTCCCTGCTTGTGGCCTGGGAAAGCAATCAAGAACAGCCCAAAGCCTTGGAACCTTGCACCCACATGGGAGATCCAGAAGAGGCTCCTGGCTCCTGGCTTTGGATTGGCTCAGTTTTGGCTGTTGTGGCCAGTTGGGGAGTGAATCATTGGATGGAAGATCTTCTTCTCTGTCTTTCCTTCTCTCTGTATATCTAACTTGTCAATAAAAAATAAATAAATATAAAAAAAAAAAAGAACCAGCTTGGGATGTCTGCCCCTATGTGAAAAGTGGGTTCAGGAGCTGACTTTGCTCCTAATTCGAGCTTCCTGCTGTTGCAGACCCTGGGAGGCAGCCTGTCAAAGGCTCAAGCACACGTTTTCTGTCACCATTGAGTTCTGGGTTCCTGGTTCAGCCTGGCCCAGCACTGACTGTTGCAGGCATTGGAGGAATCAATCTGAGGATGGAGAGTGTCTCTCTCCTCTCTGTCTTTCAAATAAAATGAAATAAATTAATTAATTAAAATGTTTGCAAAAGAAACAATCCCTTTAGCCCCTGGCCTGAAATAATCAATATTTAATTGATGCTATTTTTAAGAATAAGCCGGTGTATTCGACTAGTGCAAGCGAAATTAGAGTGGGTGAGGATTGGTTGGGATTTGCCACAGCATCAGTTGGCAGAGGCTAGCACTGGGGCCTTAAACTGTCAAGTTAAACTCCAAAACCACCTGGAGAGTGCATAATTCAGGAGTGGGAGTGGCCTAGTAGGGAGAGAGTGGGCACCCCCCCTCGGGGTTACCACTCCCACTGGAGAACATGAAAACCAGGACAGGGGCAGGGGTGGCCAGACAGAAAGGCACCTGCCAGTATGTGTGTGGACCAGATAGTAGGGTTGGTTGGGTTCAACTAGGCTTCAATGCCCATTGACATGTATGAGAGCTAAATGGGATTTGGGACAGACTTAACAAGTCTGCGGTACATACTGACATGCATGGGAACCAGGGTAGGGGGCAAGCCTGGTGGGGGTTATAAGAAGTCACCCCAACTAGACTGCAGCTTCCACTGGTTAGCATGAGGGCCGAGTATGAAGTGGGCAGGATCAGGCTGGACTACAATACCCATCAGTTTGTGTGGAAGACAGGGCTGGAAACAGAATTGACCCAACAACTGCAACCACCAGCATATGCAAAAACTGATTGGGGCAACCGACTGTGCCGGACCCCGTACTGGCAAGCACACACAAGAATCAGGTCTGGGATCACCTCAGGCAAAGTTTTTTTGGAGATCCCTCCAACTGAACTGCTGATCTCAGAACCCCAAAACCATGAAGAGACTATGTCAGCCAGTGGA